CAGCTTCGAAACAGTGCCTTTTAGAGCCCGAGCCCGGAGCGGAGCCCGACTTTTTGTACTTTTCACTTATTGTTAGATGAGTCGCATGCGACTTCATCATTACTGTGCAGTTACTCGAAAATCCTTTGAATAGAAAGAATGTGTAGTATTTCAAGTTAACCACCTATGCAGGCGAATTTTTCGTTTAATTATTGCCACCAATATGGCAGAATTACATGTCATTTGCCTCGTTTCTTCCAAACGGTGTGTTCCGTATGTTTGGCAACGCATTTATGTGTCGCAAATGGTTGGTAATATTGCTACGAAAACTGTGAAACACTCCTGTTTTAGCAAATGATGGGCGAACATGGAAGCCTTTCATCCCGCAACTTACTTCACTTAACGCGCCTGTGTCCATATGCTACAGTGGGCTCTTTCGAGGGCGTCACTTTGGCTGTGAGAATGAGAGGCATCACATCCGTTTCATAGTGACGCAGCTGACACCCGATTGTAAACCAGTGCGCTTCTCGGACAGGCCCTTGACGCCCGCTGGGCCAATCAAACACGTTCTTTCAGTTCGCACGAGTAGAGGTTGCGCACGAGGATGTCACAACGACGGTGGTTGCGACTGGCAGTGAAAAAGCGTATTGATGTTGCAAAACGTTAACAGCGTACTTTGAAACTCGATAATTATCAAAATTAATACACTCATTACGGCTGGACAGCGCTGCAGTGGCACTACCCAGTGCTATTCTAGGACATAAATGGTTTCGAGGCTTCACTAGAGTATGCTTTAAGAACATGCCCCAAAGGCGGGACACTCCCTTTAACACTTTAAGGTCATTACATGTGTAACAGTCTTTCGTTATCTTAGTCGAGTGATAACGAGCACAACACTTCAAATGATTTCTTACCCTTTACGTGGTCAATCTGCGGCATATCCGATCCGACGGCGACTCGCTGCAGAAGCTCATGGTGGCCACGCCCACTTCGGTTCCATCTCCCAAACTATTGGTCACCGACTGACGGGCGAACGTTGGGCGGCCGACCAATGGGCGCTCAGGGTTGAGCACCCGCCGCGAGCTGATTGGCCGCTCGGCTGCCGGCCGGGTAGTTGAGGGCTACCGTAGCGCTATGCGAGCTGGGCTGGGCGGGGCTAGGGTCAGCGCGCCTGCGCACCAGCGTCTGCGACAGCTGTTTGGCGTCAGCCATGTAGTGCCCCGGGAGAGACCTGGGTCGCGGAGAGACGTCTGGACGGCTTACTGCGAGGAGAAACATGCAAATTCTGATACATGTCATCAGGCACGAAGACACCGACACAATGGCACTGTTCTACTTGCCCACTGCTTTTGGTGGTGTGTTTCGCTTTCCTGCATGAAAAGTTTTGTTGCAGTATGCTCACTTCTCCGAAGGTGGACACCCGGTATGGGATAATAGGGTGGGGCCAGACCGGATCCACATTCGGATCCAGACCGTGTCCCGGATCCACCACGGTATGCAATTTATTAAACAGTACGGCCGGAACCAAAGAGGGACACCTTGTACAACAGGCCTTACGGTATAGCTCCAGCTTGCGTTGCTGGGGCCCCGCGAGACAACCAGCATCCAGCTTCCTTCAACTTCCAACTTCAAGCAACTTCCAACAGCAAGCAAGAGCGCGGGGCAAAAAAAGCGGCGAATCCACCGCTTGGATATCGCTGACCGGTCCACTGACCAGTACAGCGGCGTCTGGAGCACCAACGTCAGCCCTGACCAGTACCAGCGGCGTCTGTAGCACCACCGCCAGCGGCTCGCTCTGCTGGACCCCGCTTCTCCACCATCTCGCGACTCGACCCGCCCGCGGCGTGCTGTGTACGTCATCGGCGAGCCGCCGCTGACGTCACTGTTCACGGTAGGGCGGCGGCGTGGTGCTGTAGCCGCTAGCGGCCGGCGTCATCGTCAGAGGAGGGTACGGGGACGTCTTGCGGTCCCTGGCGGGTATCGGAGGCGTGTTAGTGCCGGCAGTGGCGGATTGGTGGGATGCCTGTCCTGGATACGGAGCGCTAGGTAAGACAGTCATGTGCATATCAATCGCCAGAATCGAGGGACTTCCTGTGCTCTGCAAGTGATTCACATGGGAATTTGGCCGAGACTTGAGGCGAGTATTGCTGTGTTGTGTCTGTGTCCTGGCTTGCTAGGAAACTTTCGTTGAACGCAAATGGAAGGTAATGGGTACAAAAAGCGTAATATTGTGATAGCATAACAGGTACATTTGAGCACGCTTGGACAATGAATGCGTTCACATCGCTGGAAGTGATTAATGTGGACCTAGAAAAGCTGCAGAGCTCGTACGTATAGCAAAAAATTATGTTGTTGTGTGTCTTTATCTTGCCGCTCTTACGTCCGAGAATGTACTTCAAGGTAAGATGCATCACTGCGTCAGCTGTTTCACTTTCTGCAGATGTAGCAGCAGAATACGCTTGAAATTTTTGGTCATAAAACTCAATTCGCTGCGAGTGCGTGCATAAGCTTTAACCTATTACCTGTTATTAGCTTTGAGCCGATGGAGCCAGTCATAAGCATTACCTTACACAGCGGTTTCGCGTCGCATTACGATAGGGAGAGAGCCATTGCGGACAACAAACGTCGGCTGAAGGTGCAACATACAGACACTTTCTGCAACCACCCGCTCTGCGGCCGCACCGTGCCTCCAACGCACCTCTGGCAGCTCATTGCAGCAGAGGATGCCGAGCGTCAGGGCCATGAGCAGGAAGATGGTGAGGCGAGAGGCCGATGATGATGAACTTGAGGTTGGTGAAGAAGCCGCGACTCTCCTCGACCGCCGGCCACATCCCCGCCACGCGCACACCCTGGTCACCGCCTGAGGCCATCTCCGGGTCACCGCTGCCCAGTCGGCTGCAGGAAGAGGGACACGGCGCGTCAGGACCCCGTGGCGCGGAGTAGACATTCTAAACGAGTAGACAGTCTACAGCCGGTAGATAGTCTACTTCTAATGGACAATCTACAGCTAGAAGATAGTCTCCACTAGAAGTCTACAGCTAGTAGACAGCCCTACCGCTAGTAGATATTCTGCAGCTAGAGGATAGCCTGCAGTAGTAGAATGTCTACCGCTGCGTAGATAGTCTACAGAAAGCATAAATTTTACCCAAGTAGATGGTCTACATTAGTCAAAAGTATACACAAGTAGATAGTCTACTGTTAGAAGATAGTCTAGATGTAGTAAATAGTTTACACTAGTGACTATAACCAACCTCCACAACCGCGATGCAATTGTGTGACGGCCGGAGAAGGCGAGCATAGATGCAAGTCATATCTTCGGCATCCCATCAGCCCCTTGCTTTATCTCTAGCGGCTGCATGAAGGGCTGCTGACCAAGTGGTCATTTGTGTAACACCGCAGCGGAGTACAAAGCTTTTACAGATAGGGCGTTGGCCTAGTGCAAGAGTAGATAGTCTACACCAGGAGATGGTCTACAGTTATCAGATAGTGTACCGCTAGTGGATAATCTAGAACTAGTAGATAGTCTACCGCTAGAAGATAGTCTGCAGCTAGTAAAAGTCTGCACTAGTAGCTGCAGACTAGTCAACACTAATAGACAGTCTACAGCTAGTAGATAGTCACAGCTATTAGAATGTTTATACAAGTAGAAAGTCTACGTTGGTACAAGTCTACTCTAGTAGCTAGCTAATCTACCGCTAGAACATAGTCTACAGCTCGTAAATAGTCTGCACTAATAGCTGTAGACTAGTCTATTCCTGAGAGCGGAAAATATGACGCATCTTTCCTTTGAGAAAAAAATTTCGTTTTTGTGGTGTCTTTTGCAAAAACAACACAGTTGATGCACGTGTGTGTGTACAATTCGGCTGGCCTCCTAAGCTCACCCGCGGATCATATAGGTATCGTGGAAAATTGTGGACACGCCTGTAGACACGTCGGCCACACGGAAGTTCCGTTTCCGCTTCGTGTAATCATATAGATATATATATATATATATATATTATATATATATATATATATATATATATATGTATATATATTATATATATAATATATATATAATATATATACATATACAAGGAATCATGCGACAGGCGGAGCAGGCAAAAACAGAATGCAAGTCATATCTCCAGCGGCTCCATCGACCTTTGCTTTATCACTAGCGACTGCGTAAATTGCTGTTTACGCGAGCGGCGACCTGTGTAACACCGCAGCCGATCACAAAAATTTTACATACGGGATGTTTCGCCCCGTGCGAGAATGCAAAGAAGAATGACCTTGAGCTTCTGGCCTTCGGCATCGTGAGTTCAGAGCTATCATGCTGATAGCATTCGACCTTTAGTATGCAAGAGAGAGCAGTTTAAAACTCCCAACTCATACCGCCCTGTGAAAGGTCTGCACTCATGCCAGAGACGTGCGCGCGTGCGGATCTGTTCAGAGGTTCGCCAGCCAGTATTTACACAAAAATAACAACCGCGAGACGAGCGTCCGCAGACCCCGTTCAGAGGTGCGGGAGATCAATACCCACGCAAGAGGTGCTCATGCCATACGATATTCATGCCATAAGGTACTCATGTCATGAGGTACTCGTGCCATGAAAACCCACGCCACGTACTCACACCAAGAGGTACTCATGCCAAGAGATACTCACGCCATGAGGCACACACGCAATGAGAACCGCGGATGTACTCACGCCATGAGGTCGCGGCGTGCTCAGCAGGGTACGCGTGCGGGGGTCGAGCGCGTACAGCCAAACGTCCGAGTACCGCTCGTCCACCAGCTGACCATCCGAGTGAGGCGCCACGCGCAGGATCCGCACATCGCCGCCGGCCATCTCGCTCAAACCCCTGGGGCAGGGCGCAGGGGGGGGGGGGGGGGGGTGATGGGATGGTTATGGTGTGGGGCGACCAGGCAGACCGGGTGGCTGATACGCTGCGTAGAAAGATAGTTACATGCGCGCGCATTTTCCAAATATATTATATAACATATTTTGTATGTATATAATAGCTTTTTCACCATTGGCGCTACAGTCGGAAGTGCAGATTCTAGCGCGCGAAACGAGCGAAAGTAACCTGGGTCAAGTTTCAAAATGGAGCTTCAAATCTAGTGCCAAAGTTGATGTTTTGCGGTGCGCTCGCCTTTGATGTCGACGCGCCACCTTGCCTCGAATCATTATAAGCATCATGTCAAGCTTGCTGTCGCCATTCCATAAGCTCATAAATGCAAGCAGTACAGAAAGCAAATTCAGTGTTCATCTGTACGTTTATCGTGCGTGCAACAAAGACGTCGTTGATTGCGCGACAAGCGACGTCATCTATAGCAAGAATACAGCACCATCTATAGTAAGAGCACCAGCGCCATCTATAAAAGAGCACCGGCGCCTACGATGAAGCTCAGCCGGCGCCAACTGTACCTGGATATGACGTCACGATTTTTGCCGAATATGTCGGAAGTCTGGTTCAGCTTTGCTATCATCATGTCCCGGGAATCAAGCACGTATATCGGCAAATAACAAATCTGTGAAATATCTGCATGCCTCAATAGCATTGCATGCCTTTATATATATTGCGACTATTTGAAATGCAGCACACGTAACCACAGCACGCCAGCTAACACTAAATGGGCGCTGTGCAATGTTTGCAGCTGAGAATACCGATGACATCTAGGTTCGACAAAAGGTATCTAAAATGGCCGCCAGCTGCGTACCTATCTTTATATGCCGCGTGTGTTCCCTCACAAACATAGCGGTCTCTTTGCCGACCGTACCAACGTAAAGCGATACCGCTCGGCCAGGACGTCACGTTCTCCATGGCAGCCCAAGCAAGAGGCGCTGAATTTTTGTCTTGGCTGAGGATGCATGGCAACTTTCGGCTCTTGATAATGCTCCGCTTATCCATCGATACATACAGCCGTTGAGGCTATTTACACACTGCAAGGCCGGTGGCAGTTCCATGGAAGGGAGACTGAGTCTCAAACCATCCATTCCAAGCCCATCATCTGAAATCCACCGGCCGCTTCGCCCCAGTCAGCAGCGCCTTCCATCTCCGGCACCGCAGACAGCAGCTCACCAGCCCCTTCACCCACTTCGCCACTGCTGCTCCCACTTGCTCCTGCTACCCCAAAAGCAGAGGAGGCGGCTTACCAGAACCTTGGCGCGAGTGGTGTGGTTGGCCGTGTCTGTCGCGAGGATCTGGAGACGGTGGATCCTCTGCGCCGTGTCGTCCGCCCGACGCAGCAGCCACACCTGGTGCGCGGAGGACAACGTGTGACGGCGAGAGACAAGGCGCGACTTGAAGCACAGTTGGTGTCATCCGCCCGACGCAGCAGCCACATCTGGTGCGCCGAGACAACGTGTGGCGGCGGAAGACGAAGGCGCGATGTGGAGGCAATTTGCGTGGAGAGACAACGTTTGATGGGAGACAGGCTCGTAACAGGGAGCGCACGTGACGGGAAGGTCACGTGCAAGAAAAGGAGATGCTGCGACGGAGAGGCCCACTTGTGACGGTTTGGAGACTGACTGAGAACGCGAACGAATGACTGAGATACAAATATGAGTGACAGGAGGACAATCTATGGCGGAAGGTGACGTCTGACGGGGGCGGGGAGGACTACTGTAGTTGAGAGATAAGAAGACGGCATACTGAGATCACAGCGATGACCACGGCAGTAATACTGAGACCATATGCACGACGGCGACAGAAATACTGGGACCACAGGGGTGACTGATACTTGGCGAATGAAGATTAACTCAGCTGAGGAGACAACGCGTGGTTAAGGGACGGAGGGCGGCACACATAAATGACATAAGTGAGCTTTTGGCTTCGGGCATGCTTGCGCTATTCAGTCTCATAGGCATGCAGTGGAGTTGTACTCCTGGTTTCACTTTATGGTTAAAACCAGGACACGTGTTCAAATCCAAATTCCTTTTATCAGAGCTTTTCAAAGCCATGCTGGTGACCAATATTAACCCAATAATGCAAATAGTTTTGAATCAAGACCACAACACACCTAAGCTTACCTGCCCGTTTGTCGGGTCTATGCTGTACATGGCCCGTACATGTCGGTCCGTGGCGTTGAGCGAGTATGATATATTGTCGTTTTTGTCGCCATCGGTTGCCTGAGAAATTCAAGTCGGATTCAAGTCGGATTCAAGTCGGATTCAAGTCGGACTTGTTCAGCACGGATTCAAGTGGAACAGAGAAGATATCTACTGATAAGGGCATTTTGATATTATTCCGTAGTGTAATTCCTTGACGTAAGATACGCACCACATTTGTCATCGGAAGTTGCACCGTTTTCAACAGGCATACAATAAGGAGTACAATAACCGCAGCGCATGATTCCACAAATTTTGATTTGATCCCAGCAACTAGCGAAGATTATTGTCAATCAGCCCGTGTACCTCGTTACTTATGAAGGCTCACACGAGTCCACAGTGTCAGCGTGGTTGCGTATGTAGGCAAGATGTACACACTAATACGGACATTATATGACGCAGGTTTTTATCGCCCGAATACACCCGGTGCGAGGCACCACAAAATGAAACGCCAACTTCCCCTTCGATGTGTTCAAAAGCTAAAGGGAGTGTTCCACGTATGTATAGGGTTTTGAACTGGAACGGCGGAGTCACGTAACTTTCGAATCGCTCATATCTGGTGCTCGTGCGCACGACTTTCAGGTGTAACGACCGTCAATTGGCTCTCTGTTAATGTTGTGCAATGCACGATGACGACGGCGCAGTCAAATAATGACGTGTTGTGAAGCATGTTTGAGAATCAGAGAACTTGTGTTGTCTCAGGCAGTCTTTTCCAATTAAAAGTATGCCAATAGCTATAAGCGAGCTTATTTCATCATATCTGATGCTTGCTTCAAATCTTCAAATGTGGAACATTCTCTTTAAGCTTAATAAATGCCAGCATCTAAATCGAGCGATTACAAAAGGGGACGCCACCCCGATATGTCATCGCGGGCATGCGCACAATTCTGGTCAGCAGAACCCTACACATCCCCTGACCATCCCTTATTCACTCACCTCCATGTGCATGACTTCAAAGCCGTAACCAGCGTCGTAAGGCACGCCCACAATGGAGGGCAGGTCGGTGACATTGAACCGCGGCCAGTGATCGTTCACATCCACCACGACGATCTTGATCAGGGCCTGGTTATAGCGTAGCTCGTCCGCGCTCGATCCGCGGTCGGCGGAGTTCGGCGGCGCTCTGCGAGGCGACGGGGGCTGACCTTCAGCAGCCGGGGTCAAGTACGCGTCAGAGCTGGCCGGCAGCAGGTCTGTCGTTACCAGCAGCCACACCTCCCGCGTCTGCTCGTGGTCGAGCGGACCGCTCATTCCAAGAAGGAATTGTCGTGATGGCGACGGCGAGGCGACCGGGTTGTTTGGTGCCGTTGACCGGATTCACCGTCCATCGGCGCTGCTGGCCGGAGGGGTCGAGCCGCCACGGCATCCAGATCTTGGCCGCTCGGGTGTTCTCCTCGACGCGGACCTCGTACAAGCGCCGGTCGAATGCTCGCGCCATTTCCACCTGGCTCCCTTCCGTGGCGGTTAGCTCCAACACGGCAAACGCGCGCTGGCTGGGCGAACCCAGGTCATAGGCCGCCAGGGTCAGGCGGAGAACGGTGCCAGCAGGCGAGGTCACATTACGCGCGGCCGTCACCGTGCCGGTCTCCGCGCCGATCACGAAGTCGTCGCTGGGCGTGAGGATCTTGAAGCGGACGGCGCTGTTGGTCGAGTCACTGTCAATGTCGTAGGCGGAGACGTTGGCAACGACAGTAGCTTGGACCAGCTCGGTCGGCGTGCGTATCTTGTACACGCGTACGGCGCGTCCGGTTCGTTCTGGAGCCCGCGCGACGTCGTCACCACGTCGCTGACGCCCGTGAAGACGGGGCTGTTGTCGTTGAGGTCGCGGAGCAGCAGCGTGACATTTGCGGCGGCACAGGATCCGCGGCAGGCGTCCTGTACGCTTCCTTCCAGCGGTAAGCTCGATGCCAGGTCGATGCACAGCTGGCGGCACGCCAGGATCGGCACGCGCGCCACGGTGGAGCGCTCTGAGTCCACTTTCCCCGACAGGAAGATTCGGCCGTCCTGGGTGATCCGATAGGAGCTGTCGCCGCTGGGGATGCTGAAGAGCACGCGGTCGCTCTCCGGCGACGTCGTCAGTTGTACCGTTCCCACCTCGACGTCCGTGTATTCTCCCTCATCCATGGAGAATGTCAGGTTGTGCTTGACCAGCTCGGGCTGTTTGACAAGCACCACGTCTACCATGAGAATCAGCAGGTCCTTCCGCTTGCTGCCCTCCTGCGACTGGATTCTGAGGACGACCTGGCCGGCACTGCGCAGCGGCCTTACCACTCGCACCAGGTTTTTCTCGAAGTCGATAGCGAAGTGTCTGCCACTGCCGGCTTCACCAGCTTCACCACCGCCTGGCCACACCTCCGTCACATCTCCTCCATCTGTAGAGTTATCATCTCTCCCTGCAGGCAGCGGTTGCAGGGAGATGCTTTCTGGCAGACGAAACACCACAGAGCCGGTAGGAAGACCGGAAGGGATCTGTACCGTCGCGCGCAGCACGTCCGATGCATTAGCCCCTGGTGTCGACGTCAGCAGCTGTGCGAGAATCTGTGAGGACTCGGACAATGCCCTCGAGCGAAAGTCACGCCGGTCCGTAACGTTGTCTGCTCGGCGACCTCCTTCATCTGGTCGTGTCTCGTTTTCGTCGCGACCGTGAGTGGAAGCACTCGGATCCTCGACCGGAAGGTCGCTCTTCGAAGCGAGACCTACGCTGCGGATCGTTGTGCCAGTCGCCGACCCTTTCAGTGCGCCTGAGGCCGCTCGCGGGGGTCAGCTCCGTGACCTCCTCTACATCCGGATTCCTCCGAGGTTCCCAGTCCTCGATGCGAACGGTCAAGGAGCTGTTAGATCGCAAGCCGTCCTCGTCCGTGACTTCCAGCTCGCACTCGAACACTTCCCGCTCAAACTGAGTCGCGACCACGCTCACCAGCGCCAGGGCGCTGACTTCGAACGCGCCCTCGCAGCCGGTCAGGCGGAACTCCAGCTCACTGCGCACCTCGTCCGCATCGCTGACCCTGATGGCCGGGGTCACGGTGGCCAGATCGCCAGCGGCGGCGTCGGCGGCCACGACGCCGGTGTAATGCCGGCTGCTGAAGCGCGGTGCGTTGTCGTTGGCGTCTAGTACGTTGACGGTGAGGGCGGCGGCACGCACGTGATGTTGCCGATGCCGTCGGTACTGTAGGACGACGGTGAATGAGAGCTGACGATGCTCCTGTGGGAAACGCCGGGTAGATTTAAGTTGCTGCAGTTGTTCGGCGCGGACTGTTCGTAAGTGTGAGTGGATTTCGCTGCCGACATGCTGGTCTGATACACCTGCAATTTGTTTCATGATATTGACTCATGTGTTTGCGCTAACCACGAGCTTGGACCGCACATTGGTGGCCCAGATGAAGGATGGATTAAAATGTGCTTCGAAGTAGAAGTATTTACCATTTAGTATATTTTGTTTTAAAAGTGCATTAACTGCAGCAGTTGTTTGCGCTCATGTTTGCGCTAACGAACTGCCAGGGTTTAATTACGGCTTAATTGAGATGTGACTAGAAAGTCATGCCTTTAACACTAGTACCTTATATGTTCTGTTTATAACGAAAAAGCATTCAGTGAGATTTGCTCATAAAACACCATTATTTTGGTACTTCTTGCTGTAATTTGAACGGGTTTAATATGAGTGACATCGACATGGACGAACAATCCAGCTGTGCGAATCTAACTGGCCCTTCTGAATGATTGTTATCGTTAAAGATATGTTAAAATGAAAAGACGGGAAACCGGCAAATGCAAACGGCACACCATGGCAAAACATATGGACAGTTTTCATTGACAGGTTCAGCTGGCCGACGAAACATTCAAACAGCAGACAAAAGCGATGGTATTTACACAGTGCACACTGACGAGTGCAGCCGGCGGTCGGCAGGAGTTTAAAACGGCGGACAATAGCAGCGGCATCAAATTTATGTACGCGCTGAAATGCTTACGTAAGAGTTTTAGGACTTATTTGTGAAGAAAAAACTAGTGAATTATAAAACACAGTATCGTGCCGCTTTTTGCAGCAATTCTTTTCATATCACGTACCTCAAAATCCAACGACTTTATCAGCCGAAGTTCTGCTTCGGAGGTTACTTGAAACGTGTCGTTTAGCGATGGATTCAAAATTTTTGCTTCCAAGAACTCTACAGGACGTTCATCTTCGTCAAGAAGCATGCCGACAGTGATGTTGCTGAGATTTTCCTGTAAACAGAGATAGATGAAGATCACAAGATCTATTACTGGTGTGATATCATGCAACTGGGAACTGATCGAGATTTATTTTTGTTTGCTTGACATTACTTATTTATGTTCGACTTTTATCAGCCAGTGAAGAATGCCTTTCGTAAAAGCATATGAGCTCAGGATATTGCTCCGCTGGCTTGGAATTCCTACAGCATGCACAATTTACATGCAATAGTCTACCGAACAACCACGTGCATTGCCGTACCGTTACATTGAACGCTAGTGATGCGCTCTCGAATGATTCTTCCGCGTTTTCTGGTACGATTAAGATGTCGATAATAGATGTCGTTAGGTGCGTTCCGTCGGTAATGTCGATACCAAGGCTGTATTTGGATTGTTCTGTTTCATCCAATGGCGAAGAGACTCGAATAACCCCGGTGTCATTATCCACATCAAAGGGAACTGAAATAAAAGAATACACGAGTCTGCAACATTTCAGTTCAACAAGCACCCTTCACAACGGCAAATCGAGATGGCTAAGCATTACACTCAATCCTATTCTTACAAATTTCTGCAACCGATGAGAGTTGATTGGCATGACAGCCAATCAACCTCACAGTGAATCACTTGACGTGGAACACGAATGCTCGCCTGTTGTTATCGATCGAGGGATACATGCTAATGCTTCAGTGCTATGAGATCAAATCTAAAAAGTTATTATGCATATTAGCCGTCACATGTGGTTACATTTCCAGCTCCTCCACGAACTAAACAGAGTTTGAAAGGCCCTCACATGGAGCAATGCGCGTTTGGAATCAGAATGTGACAACTGGCCTGTCCTAACCTGATCTGAATGTGACAACTGACCTGTTGCATTTCTGAGTCGAAAGGTCAGGTCGTCTCCGTCGGGGTCTTCCACGACCAGCTGACCGACGCGTGACCCCGGTGTCACGTCTTTGCCCACCCACAGCCGCTGACCGGGTGGGACGCTGAAGCGGAAGTAGCAGCGTGCATGATTGGGTGTCGGGGGACACCGGACGGAGACTGACCGGACGGAGACCGGGCACACCGGACGGAGACCGGGCACACCGGACGGAGACTGACTGGACGGAGACTGACGTGAGCTGTCACTTGGTCGCGTTGGTGAGGAGAAATGCACACGCGCATAACGGCTGGAAATAGCCAGAGTTGCGACAAACATCAGCGAATCAAACATCAGCGAATCACGTAACACGGTTGATCTGTGCGAATTACTACGCGCATGTCAAATGACCATGATGATTACAATCGGCTGAGCTCTTCTTGCTCCACAAAGCTGTACCGTCCCGCATTCTAAAATGGAAGCTGTGTTAACTCGTGCGTCGGAGTTACCTTTCATATGTCTAACTTTATAATACGTCACAAAGGCAGCCTGGAAATCAACAAAACATTGAGCTACAAGCAGGTCTGATCCCGCGCTTAGAACTGAGCGTGAGTTTATGGTGCGATATCACCGGGTAAGCGTTTTCTGAAGTGAATGAGCCGAACTACATACTTTTGGTTCACCCTGTGATATGACGTTGTTTTAGTCTATGACAACCCACGTTCACACGGAATTTCATCTCATTTCGAACATAATTTGAGCTTTGCAACGTGGTCCCGGCTCAGCGGTGTCAGAAATTGTTTAAAAAGCTCACAAAACAGAATGCATCGTCAAAAATATGTCTACCATTCCGGCATGACCCTGGTTTGCCTTGAAAATTGACCTGCTCTAAACCATGCAAGGTGTGAGTCCCCGGGCCTGGCTGGCAAGCCCTCTGATTTCATCAGGACCTGGACATCCGGTAACCTCAGCAGGGTTGAACCGTGAACGAACCACAGCTGACATCTTTGACGCAGTCAAGTTCACTGCATGGTCATCTCCTTCGCCCCGTGATTTGACCATCGCGTCCAAGATGACCTGACGGTGAGATAGGTCAACCCGTGCAATTCCAAAGGTGACCCGTGAACTGGCCATAGCCGACCAATGACCCGACTGTGTTTGACCCGGTAACCTGAAAAGAGATTGCCACGCAGCCTCACCAGAGGTTGCGTTACTATGACCCTGTGTCCCCCTATCTACCCCACGACCTCGCCTGAGTAAGCCGGTGATCTGACCCGAGCTGACCTGTAACCAAACATGGGTTAACCCGTGACCTGATCAGGTTTGACCCAGTATCCTGATCAGTGTTCTTCTCATAACCTTGCCAAAGGCCAAACGATCACTGCAGCATGACCTGACCTGAGCTGACCTGTGACCCGACCGCATTTGACTCGTGACCCGAGCGGCGTCCATCTTTCATCCCCACAAGAGGCAGTGTACTCTGTAACCCGATCAGTGAACATGTGGCGGTTATGCATGTGAACTGCTCAGGTCACCCCGTAACCTGAGCTGGCCCATGACCTGACCTGGGTGGACGGACGTTTCTGACCCGCACCAGCACAGTCACCACAGCTAGCGCGCTGCGAGTCTCCCCGCGGGTGACCGGCGCGTCCTCCGCGCGCACGAACAGCACGTAGGAGCCGGCCTGCAGGGGGCGCCGCTGGCGCAGTTCTCCCGACGAGGAGGAGATGGAGAACGCCGGCTGGCCGCCCGTTAGCGTGTTGTTCTCGAATGAGAACGTCACGCGGCCGTTGACGCCCTCGTCGGGATCGGTGGCTTCCACCTGGTGATGGTGCGAGGCTTGGAATAAGGCGAGGGTCGCAATGTTGTGGTAACGTTATTTGCGTCGAAAGATGGAATCAGAATTGAAAGATAGAAATATCTCGAAAGAAGCACACGAATATGTTGAGTTTTAGAGAACCCTGCGACTTATTTGTGGCACCATATGTTCATGAAATCCAAGCTGTTTTGATGAAGAACTTGCTCTCATGTGCTTCCCAATTACAGCATGGTACCTACACTAAATACACATTTTTCGTGATATATGTATATATATATATATATATATATATATATATATATATATATATCAGGATAAATTAGTTATATCATGATTTCAGACACCCACGTGTGCGTACATGAACACCAACATCTCGTGGAAGCATACAAAAAAAATGTAAATCGTTGAAGGTAGTGGAATGATACCTGATTATTATCGCAATCCTGACAGACCATAAGCCGACATGTTTCAGCAGCAGCAAACGTTATGAATCAAAACCCTTCTGAAGCCCTTAAGCCACGTCTACATCGGGCTTATAGAATACGGTCTACCGTTTTCTTTAGGTACTGCTCCCTTTCGTGCGCATCAATTGCTTGTAACACCACGCAGCAACCACTTACCCGTCCAATAACCCTGCGAAGAGAGCTATTGCCATCCACGACAAACTGGTACGTGTTCGTTGGTAGGAACTTCGGGTTGTTGTCATTCGAATCCAACAGATTGATGATCACCTTTGTGAAAGACCTTGATTGCCTTCTGAAAGAGCGGCGCGGCAGAGCAACATTATTTGGCGTTCCAACAGAAGAGCAATTCCCCAGTGAATTAGAAGGCAAAATGACGTATCGAGACGAAATGGTACAAAGAGGAAGGGATGGAGAGAGGAAGCTTTAGATCAAAGCAGCGAAATATTTCGTTGCACAAAATGATGCCTTTTTTAGTTATCGGACCTAGCGCATCTTATGGTAAATGAGAACTTTCTGATCTTACCTCAACACACTCGGAGTTAGTTCGTCGGCGTAAATGTCCAATTTCAGCTGCGACTGCTCCTCGCGGTCCAACTTGGACTGATCCGCCACCGTCAGCCATCCTGTTACCGGGTTGAGTCCAAATGCTCCCGAGGGGTCGTCCAGGCTATAGGTGAAGTTGGCGTTGTCCCCCTGAGGCCCAGAGGCACATGTGTGAGATATCGACCGACTGATCATTCTACCTTTGCAGAGCTCAAGTGCTTACACCTTTCCGCGAGAAGACATCCAGGTTCATACGCTGAGGCATTAGGTGGATATCGCTGCATTTACCAAAACCGTAACTGTGTTCTGTTATCCTTCATCGCTGTTTTCCAATACACTGTTCCAGCATGCCAGTGATGATTTGCTTGGCCGGTAGGCTTCAAGGGCCATTTCAGCATCTTGATGCCTGCTCAACAATATCGAATCAAGCTGGTATGTTTGTAGCCGATGGTTCAAACTTGTGGTCCCGGCATAGTGGTGGCATATCGCTGTCGACTTGGCAGCACATGGCTCATGTTGTTGTCATGTATTACTTGGCCCACCGCCACACAGTTGCCGACTTTGTGACCATCAGAGGCCCACCACCACTTTTCCCTTGCTAGCATAGGTTGCCCATCACAACCGTCGGCTTACTGTCATCATTTTCCCACCACTACACTCCCACTGTATGCATTAGTTACGAAACACCAACCCTCTTTCACCGGCATCAGCTGGCATGTGGTCACCAACCTCACCTTGTCGGCGTCCGTGGCGCGGACCTGGACGATGCTGAAGCCCCGCAGCAGGTTCTCGATGATGCTGATGTTGTAGCGGTCCACGAGGAAGTCGGGCCGGTTGTCGTTGAGGTCAGTGACCGTCACCACCACGGTGGCGCGCGCTGACCTTGACCTGTCGTCCGTCTGCCACGCCTCGACCGTCAGCGTGACCTCGTCCTGAGGTCAGACAGGGCGTAGTGTCCAGTCGTGGCGCTGGGATTAGAGGTCAGCCGCGGTCGCGAGCGGCCGGCATTGTTCGCGGCTTCCGCGCCGACTTGACGCGCGCAAGCAGGGATATTCAACGCGCCTAGTGGGGATGTCAACGCGCCAAGCGGTGATGTCAACGCGCCAAGCGGGGATGTCAACACGCCAAGCGGGGATGTCAATGCGCCGCCGACGCTTCCCCGCGTTGATGAATTGCTCAAGCTGAGTAAAACGAGCCGCTGCCGGATACAGCTGGAGAATATCTGGGTCGGAAAAAGCGCAAGTTTTTGGGGTTCACGCAGGTGAAAACGAATCTTTAGGGTACACATACGTGAAAACGAGCTTCAACAAACCATTCGCACCAGATGAGCATTCTTGTCGAAAGTTGTTAAATATTGCCCACAAAGCTACTTACGTTTTCTAACTGCTCGCGGTCGAAAGTTTTCACCAGCGTCAGGGCGCCGGTGGCGGAGTCCATGCTGAAATGTTGCCCAGTGTTGCCAGATCGAATACGGTAGTTAAGCCGCTGGTCGATTGCCAGATCGCCGTCGTAGGCCAGGATTGGTGGCTCCGTGCGCAGAAGGAGCTGAAGGGATCTCATCTGAAAGATGTAATCTGTGATAAGACCCAGTGCGAAAGAAAAGGTGAATATATGTTCGAAATAATATTGGCATAATATAATTTCGACCACATTACGATTTTACGTACTAGTCTTGTTGTCCATATGACAATGCTTGTGCTTCATGCATTTTCCGTTTTTGATATTTTGTTATATTTGCCATTGTCACAATCACGAACACTACAGCGATTTTCAACAGCGTGCCTTACTCTTGCAAAGCAAAAACATTGTGTGACTTCATATTTATTTTGCAGCCATTGATCAGTGAATGTGGTAACCAGCCTGTAAGGCGACACATTTTTATACAGACCTAGCGAGTACAATCAAGATGCATTTGCTATGGCACGAATACCTTCCTGTGGCTGACAATAGTGGAAAGTAGATTGTGACCAGTGTGCTTGGTAGATATGCTTATGATAGCATCTGAAATATAAGTATATATTTTATATCTATAGAAGATATTGATATGGAAAATATAGATGAGCTTAAGTAGATCTAAGCATATCTACCAAGATAGATGGCAGCAGTGCACATTAACTCGAGATGTCCACGATGGATTGCAGTTGCATACTGACCAGGTTGCTGAAGCCATCGGTAGATGGCAGCAGTGTGTACCGACCTGGGGGCCGGGATACTCGGTGACGCTGGCCCGGTAGATGGCAGCGGTGAAAAGGGGCGGCTGGTCGTCACCGTCCTTGACTGAGATCGTCAGCTGAGCCCGGCTTAGACGGGCCGGGGCGCCGCGGTCCTGTAAAAGTGCAACAGTGTAAAAGTGTTTGGATTTCTGTAAGAGTTAGTGTGGGAAAGTCGCGCTTATTTCTGCAATAGGACGGGAAAGTCGCGCTTATTTCTGTAAGAGTTAGGGCGGTAAAGTCGCGCTTAGGAACGCAAGGCGCGAGCTATATGGTAAATTGATTGATGTAAGACGATTTAGAACGGTTTTTCAGCGGTTATTTGCGCCAACCTCACATTTTACGTTGCAAAATTTAGTGCATGGCGAACATTCTGAAAGAAAAATCTCACTGGCGCTTACGTTGGAATCCAGCCGCGTCAAAAATATTAAAAACGACATTGTTGGCGGGGTGTTGGTCATTATTCGTATTATGTACCAACCCATAAGCAAAGCTAAATCCGATCTTCGACACGCTCTTTTCTGCAGGCAGCATAGAAGAAGAAGAGGAACAGCAAAAAAGTCATAGCAAGCAATGCGATCTTTATGGAAAACTCCCCTTCGCGCATTGGGTCATGGCTCAGTGAGTAATCACCCAACTACCATGTGGCAAACACGGCTGCCATATCGTAACGTCATCGTTTGAGAGTCGGCCATACCCCGAAGAAAAACCACCGTCACCTTGTGGCACTTTGCGAATTGCCAGTGCACGATGTGAGCTCGAGAGATGTGAGATGTGAGCAAAGCAAACGTGCCTTGCTCAAACGCCAACGTCGTCAAACGTCATACGTCACAATCCAAGTCGTCACACGATATCGGTCTTTAGCAGCTCGGGGCTTACCACAGCGTGATGTGACTTTTTGAAACGGGCAGCGTTCGTTTTCAGAATTGCAGCCAACCATATATAAGGCAATCTGATGACGTCACGCGTGACACTGCACGCACTTTCATCATACTGCAGGATGCGTGAATCGTTACCTCAATACGAATGAAAATACGTCGCAGGAGAAGGGAGTGAAGAGAAACATGCGTTCTGACGTTTACAGCCGTCTGCACAGCCTGATATCGACGCATGGATGCCTGGTTACAGTCGCGCCATGTCGAGTTTCACGCCTCGTCGTGGCCAGAGACGGTTCGCAGTAATTTACAGTGCTGTGCTGTACAAGTGGCACCTGGCAACTGCGCCCTGATTGGAAACACAGCTTGAATTACATGGAACCATTTGCTTTCTCGCTACGTCAAATGGCCCATGCCAAGCGATCGACTTTGGTTGATGGATGCATGACGTTCAGATTCGACACAGACCCACGCACAATAGCGCTTGACGTGCGAAACTAAAGCCCCTTTTGAAAATCATGTCCAGTTTGAGGTGACATCAGCCGTCTTCTTCTGGAATCTGTCACATCTTACCGAAGCTGTGATGGTTAAATTCATTTCCCTGTCGCCGTTCTCAAAGTCGAACGGTTTCTCGAGTACGACTGCAGCGCCGCCTCGGGGTAGCGGCGACAAGCTGAACTTCAGGTTCTCGTTGCCGTTCGATATCCAGTAGTAGATGTCGCTGTTAGCGGTGTTGGCCTTGTCCTTGTCCCTTGCCATGATGCCGTCGTAAATCATCATTCCTGTGCGACGACAAGGCAAGAGATTGTCTTGTCACGTATGGTCGTCATTTAGAGTCTCGTAAATACCCAAATTCCTTTATGTTAGAATGATATGTCCGATACGGCCCAGCCATAAACACTTCAAGGAGCAACCCAGTGACCAAACAAGAAGCAGAATATCTCGCAGATTCAGATACAGCTTTTCACAGAACGCAGCACAGGACCGTCAGAGTTCTAATGATCACACTAAATGTATGAAATCTTCAGAGCTCTAATTTTTCCGAATGCATAAAACGTTTCCAAGGATTTTAAAAGGTAACCACGTAAAATAGCGTCGACAGTCATGCCACAACCACATAACGCGTGTCCCGGTCATCTGGCCCTGGCTTTTGCGCGTGAGGTCCTCCACAGTGGTCTCGTTCGGACGTGATCTCGTCCAAAGAAGCCTGGTAGACGTGACTGATTTTTGGGCGTAAGCTCGTTCACGGTAACCCAGTACGCGTCACTGAACTTGTGACGCGATCTTGTCCAGAGGAATGGGTACGGGATACTGACCTTTTGGGGCGATCTTGTCTAAGGAAATGGGTACGGGCTACTGACCTTTTGGCGCGATCTTATCTATAAGAATGGGTACGGGCTATTCACATTTTGGGGCAATTTTGTCTAAAAGAATGGGTACGAGCAATCTTTAAGGGGAGAGCTCGTTTTCAGGAACTGCTACGGACTACTGACCTTTTGGGGTGAGTTCGTCTACAGTGACCTGGTATGGGTCACCGACGAACACCGGGGGATGGTCATTGACGTCTTCGATGTAGAGTGTGACCAGCAGCGAGTCCGAGCCCTGCAAGCAGAGTGGGGACGTGATGAGTAGGGGTAAAGCGGTCGCAGTGCCTACTTCGTGGTTGATAGATCCTAGATAGGTTTCCGTCCAAGCAAACTATTACTACTTGCTATTACTAAATTACCACTACTTACTGCGCTGAATTTCGCAAAACCGTGGAGCGCTAATGGCATAGCCGTCACGCGCATCGATGAATAAACCATCTTGCTTTCCGCATGTATTCTTTAATGTGCAGCAAACCGTAGTGTCTGCTCGCACAGACCGCAACTTTCGGTGCCAAAAATATATTGACGAGTGCTTTTGAGGTGGATAAGAAGTTGTAAAGGCCGCACATCCCTTTCGGAACAGTTGTCTCAGATCTTCAGTGGACGTTTGACACCTAATGACAGCATATTGTTTTTTAATTCGCCATTAGAGAGCATGCATGCATTATGCAGCAGCTCGAGCAAGCGAGTGATCGGAACGAATGCGCCCGAAGCATGCAGCTATTCAGCTGCATCTGTGTTTGACGTGAGCTAGAACCTGATTATTACCCAACCAAACTGTCTTCGAGAAACGCACGCCACGGCCAGATTCCTATCATTTGCACTGCACAGGCGTCTCGCAATAGCACGGAGGAAAACACTGCAAGGAAAACAAGCACCAAAAAGCATTGCAAATACATCGGAGTAAACGTGTTCTATGTGCAGGCACGTAGTATTCCTTCTGCCGCAATTCATGTTGGCTGATGTTTTTTTTCACCACGCACATTGGGTTTCACAAGTTTTGTCTTAACTCACGGTTCTGCAATTGAGTCTTGACGTTTCAAGGAGTACTGGCTGTTGCGTCACATCACCTGATAACTTTCGAACGGCCGTGTAAGGTTATCAAGCCACAAATTGCACGGATCAACATGCGCGCGTCGCCGAGCCTGCACCGCAGCGCGTGCCATGCCCCAGACCGCATAGTCACGCCCATACACGGCAAAATCTTCATTTTTGCTTGTCGTTGTCATGCGTTCCGTCTATCGCGTCTTCTGTCTCGAAAGCTCCTTCACTGGCTTGTGCCGAGGTGATGTCAGTGAGGTATTTCTGTCATTGCGGTGACACTGCTAAGTTGATTGCTCAAACTGGTTAAGGATCTGCATAAATCGCACATGTTCACTAGATGTGTTGTGCATAGGTCGCACATGGTTACTTGATGTATTGTTATACGCACTGTCATCGACTTTTGGAACGGAGCCTTGCCGGACCAGTGATCGTCACGAAACCCACCCTGACAAGATAGGCGCATTGATTGACCTTTTTAACATCTTAACGACGTCTGCACGGCTACCACATTTAGCGAGTGCTGAGTGCCCCTTTACAAGCAACCCGGTCATAGCTTGTATAAATTTGCAAGGGTGTTTAAACAGCATATGTGTTAAGAAAGAATGCAGAAATTGAGACCTAAGAAACTGAGGAACTAATCCAAAAGCACAGAGGTAAAAATAAAAATTAAAGTGAGAACTGTAGCGATGGCTGGTTGAGTTCTTAAGCTCACTTATAACGTTGTCAGGGTAGGTCAGCATTAACAATTCTGAGTAACGAGGCAGAAGTCACGCCTTTTCGAAGCCGGCATTTTCCAACAACACAACAGTCCCAAGTCGAAGAATCGCAACATAACACGCTGAACCAGATTCACGACGAAAGAGGATTATGACCGCTCTTAGGCTGCAGGTCAGCGGATGTTAATGACCTTGTTTGGCTCCAAAATGGTCCTTGGCCTATTTGACATGACCACCGTGCCTCAGGATTATCATTGGTTACCTGTCCCATGCTCCGGGTGACCACTTGTCGCCCCTGAACCGACATTTCAAATCAAGGTGGCCCCAAAAGCCTACCGAAATAACTTTGAAACATTTATAATAAATTATGAGTATTTCAACGGTTGACCTTCACGAGGACCATTCTTAGGAAAAGACGTGCACAACGAATGCATGATCCAATTGGTCAAATGGCACGGTACTGTCTTCAGCCGTATATTTTGTTTCGGGGTCCCAGACGTGCCCCTGGGCTCACATGCCCGTCCCCCCCTCTTTCGATGACATGGTTCTCCAAAAAATCCCGGCATGCTTTTAATCTCAGCATCAGCCTTCCACCCTGGCGATGTTTATGTTTTACTTATCCCTCTCTGTGTCCCAACTCATGCCTCTGCTGTTTATCACTGCTTGCCTATGCCCCTGTGAGTATCAAACTGCCCTCGTTCTCCCAGCCCCTGCTGCGCTGCCCCATCCCATGCCCTGCTCGCACTTGCCCCTGTTCCCATCCGTCTATTCCCTTGTCTATCCATGTCCCTGCCTATCCCCGTTAAGCCTGTTTGAATCGTGTCTCCGCTCTGCCTGTCCCTGTTCCCAGACGCCAGTGTCATGTCCATGTCAGTCCCTGTCCCTGCCCATTTGCGTCCCTGTATGCTCCTAGCCTTTCGTTGTTGACCCGGCTTATCTCTGCCTTGCCAGTCACTACCACCCTTTGCACGCACCAGTTCACCGATCCCTTCGCACCCGTGCCCTGCCCTGCCCTGCCCCTGCCCTGCCCTGCCCTGCCCTGCCCTGCCCTGCCCTGCCCTGCTCTGGCCTGCCCTGCCCTGCCCTGCCCTGCCCTGCCCTGGCCCTGCCCTGCCCTGGCCCTGCCCTGCCCTGCCCGCTCTGCTTGGCCTGCCCTGCCCTGCCCTGCCCTGCCCTGCCCTGCCCTGCCCTGCTCTGGCCTGCCCTGCCCTGCCCTGCCCTGCCTGCCCTGCCCTGCCCTGCCCTGCCCTGCCCTGCCCTGCCCTGCCCTGCCCTGCCCTGCCCTGCCCTGTTCCTGCTCTGCTCTGGCCTTGCCCTGCCCCTGCCCTGCCCTGCCCTGCTCTGCCCTGCCCCTGACCCTGGTAGTCTCCGGTCGCGGCGCGTCCCGTCGTGACGGTGCCTCGCGCGGCCGTCACGGCCGTGGCCCGCAGCGTCACGTCGGACCATCACGTGCGTCACGCGCCGTGGCCGAGGTTACGTGCGCACGGTGTGACGCCCCCGAGTTGTGCCGGGCTCGGAGAGGACTGGGCGGCGGTCGGGAGATGGGCCAAGGAAAGAGAGGCGGGGTTTTGAGGACCATTAGGGGATGCATGCTGCATGAGCGCGTACATGCTTAGGTGTATGTGAGTGTGTATGATTGACTATAGTGTATATAGTGAGTGTGTATGGGAGACTTAAGTGCATATGATGAGTGAATATAAGTGAATAAGGTATACATAGTGAGTGTATATGAGTGAGTACAGTGCACATAGGTATTGTATATGGGTGGCTATAGTGCATATAGTGAGTGTGTATGAGAGTTCACGGGATTTTTTTCAGTTATTACGCATGGTGAACGTGGTTCGAGGGAAACGCGGGTTTCAAGCAAAACCGTAAAGCTCTAGTGAGTATTCCTTGCTTTGCACAATTGGAGTTGGTTGTGCTCGCCTGAGTAATGAAACATCAAGTGCTACTTTCGCTACTCAATCTCATTGATCATGCTGAGGCGCGTTTTGTGCGCCACAGCTATTGGTGACGAGTGCGCTGGTCTTGATATTGCCAAAGCGTTTGACTGGCGGACGTGAATGCCCACAATTGCATCAATTGGTCAAATGACACGCATGGTCGCACTAACCACGGACGTACTGCAAATAAACTGCAAATGGGTGAAACTTTCGGTAAAACCTATGGATTGTTGAAGTCGTTCAAAAGCGTTCAAAGAACCGGTCTCAACAAAAAAGCTTTCAAATGTTTGTACACCCCACAGGAAGACCAAGCTGAAATTCCAAGAGGAACCTTTGTAACCTCAACACCTGCCGGATAACGAATACGTAGACCTTTAAGCATTTGGCATTTTTGGCCCTTTCGATAGGCAAATCAACACTTCTACTTAATCTCATAGTGCTGTTGCAGTTGCGGCACAGTTGCAGCACAATGGCGTTACCGGCTCTCATTTTTAGGATACTTCTAGGTAATGCTCGCTTACCAAGTGGCCAGTGTTTAACTTTGCCTTTTAAGGAAATCAGAGCTTTTTGAAATTATGACAGCGAAAGCAGTGAAGACGTGACAAAACTATGTGGCACGGGACGCCTGACAACGACTGGCAACAGCTACAGATGTCATGTGAATGATGTGAACTGTGAGGCGGCGCCTTTGAAGAGGCGGCGCCTATTCCCCGTATGAAGCTCCCAAATATTTTATTTCGGTGTGCTCAAACCTTTCAAATATTACAAAGAGCATGTGCTTAGTATTATGCATGACGAAACGAGTTCAAGAGCAGGCAACGTTGCGTGATATCAGCCGACAGTAACTATACGCGCCGTGAGCATGACACCCCTGGTTCAGTGAACTACAGGTGGCGTGAGGCTGCATGAGGACCACGAACGGCGTTGCTTATTATCTCACAAAACATTCGTCGAATATGGAAGCGCACTTTGAGGGCGTGGCCTACGGAAACCATTTACGTCTTCAGCGTCTCTCATCGCTAAATTACCGTGTCAGCGCATGTCATAAGCACCCAAATTCGCCTGCCCTCTGAAAAGAGCGGCGGCAACAAAAGGCCTTCGACAAACAATCCCCGACCAGTCTCACATCGCCGGTGTCGCAGAACACAGCAGGTCTTTAACGTCTCCCGACCCCAGTCATCGGACACCGAGGGAGACCCGTGACAGCCACGCGCCGGAACCGCTGTCGCTGTTCAAAACCAGCGGACCGAAGGAGTGCCGCAGGGGCTGTCGTAGGGCCGCACCGATTTTCCGTCACGGCGAGGCGTGCGTCCAATGTTTGCGGACGGGCTGTGCTCATGCAGCTGGGTGTGATAGGGAAAATGATGAGTCCTTCTTCTAGGTCTTTGGCTTTGGGACTAGAGTGAAATTATAACTGCTAATGCCATTTGTATGCCTTTTCTTTGAGATGATTTGCAAAGATAGAACGGAATCAAGTTAATCCATACCCCTGGTGCTGCATGGAATTAGCCTCAGCTTCTGGTGGATGATAC